TAAGTGAATCTTTAGACCACTCCCATACAGAAATCTCTTGTTGCATAACGTACACTCGTGTGGCTTTTCTCCTCCATGGGTTGTCATGTGTCTAGTCAAACTAGACTTGATTGTAAAACCTTTGCTACAAACACTACAGAGAAAGGGTTTATCTTTAGTTGGGCTGCAGCTAGGATCATTTTGATCGCTTCCTGTTGCATGAAGTTTGGAAGACTGATTGATCATCTCATCATATTTCATCGTGATGTCTTCATTCCTATCTATATCCATTCCTCCAGGTTCATGAGATGACGTGGTAGCATCCGGTGTCTCTCTGTCAGCTGCTCGCTTTTCATGAAAATAAGGCACTTGGCTTGGTACGAGACAAGAGTCATACTCACTAGGGCAACCCTCTCTTTCAGATGGATCGGATTGAGTTCCTATGCCAGCTTCTACCGGTAATGGGATATCCTCTGGAAGACTTGGACGTCTATCCCCGTCACGTGATCTATCACCTGACATTTCCTGAGTGTTTCTCATACTTTCATGGGAGCTCTGCATTCTTGAATTCCCACCTGAGCACAAAGAGCAGGATGAAATATCTAACTTTGAGTTTAAATGGAAGCTTCTCAAGTAAGTTACATGTAGGTACACAGACAACTACAACAGGGTACTGGTGTTCACTTTTTTTTTTGATAACAGGAAATATTTTAACATTCGAATGTAAATTTGATTTAATAACAATATTAATAATAATAATAACTTTTACTTATATAGCGCTTTTCATAATGGCACCCTTACATAAAAAAGGGTACCCGAGATATGTTTCTATCACAAGGTATCCAAAATGCATATAATGATACATAGTTTGGTAGTTCTGTGCTCCTATCAAGCGATAGATACATCTCTAGCTCAACTCTGAAGTTTGTAAAGATCTGAAATGCTTTTAAGTAGGTTCGTAAGGAATTCTAGAATTAGGTCCATTAGAATAAAAAACAATTTCATTTTAAGTTTCCCTTAAAGAACATTATCAGGTAAGGCAAAGTTGAATTGAACATATATACTACCCTGGGCCACTCATTGTTCTTCAAATGATATTAGCCATGAACTTCACTGTAAATTATTTTGTTTGTGTGTCCTCCTTTGAGATCAAATGTAAACAATTAAGGTATTATTGGAATTATTTACCCCAACACATTTCAATTCAGATTCCCGTGAAATAAAAGACAAAGTCAAATGTTTCAACTTGGTTCTGTGAAGAAATTATATCTCTCTTTCGTTAAGATCATGTTACTCTGTCTGTATATTCATTATTTTATTTGACTCATATTTTCAGGCAGTATGTGTCTCCTAAATTTCCATTCTTTTCGTGTGTGTGTTATTTTGGTGCGCTTTATAGTTTTATTCTAGTTCGATATCGTCCTCTCTCTCTCTCTCTCTCTCTCTTCAGATATTAAGAACATTTATCTGTAAGTCTCTCTTATCCTCTGATATCTTCTTTAAATCTAGTTCGATCTGTTGGTTTCTCTTTCTCGCTATAGCTTAATATTTATCTAAATTACTCAAGGATAGATATTCATGCAGTCACATCTCCAGTGAAATAGTAACTACAAAATCTCCATACACACATCATTACCTAAATATGAGATTTGGTACAATAACAAACAAAACAAACAAGATCATGTCATTAATTTTGTCGAAAGCTAGGTTTTAATCCACCTCAATGTGTGCACCATTATGTACAACCTTCCGGGACAGGTATTTTTTTAAAGGCTAAACTGATCACATGCTGTTCTTTAAATTGGCAACAATTATACATGTACTCAGGCTTGCATGTACTTATATTTAAAGAGAAAATCCACTCCAAAAATAACTTACTTGAAATAGAAGAAGAAAAATTAGACAAACCAATCAAAAAAGGTGTGAGCAAAATCAGATAACTAATAAGAAAGTTATTATTTTTTGAAAAAGTATGTAAAACCATGGAACAGTGGAAATCACTACACAAATTGCAAATTTGGTTATCAGTTTGTGACGTCATGTCCTTACCATTTATCAATTGCTTTATATATTTTAATCCCATTAATTTCTCTTTTTATCCCAAAAACTTGATTTCCCCATGCCTTTGCCCAGGGTATATGATTTGTATCATATCGGGTGCATGACATTTCACAAAATCTTGTATGATCTTTGAAGAATCGATACTATTTTCTGAATATTGTATATTCATAATTATTCATTGTTGTATATAAATAGTTAATCAAAATTCACATTTGTCATGATTTAACTGAAACAAATTACTCTATATTAGTGCATCCACACAAAAACATATTACTATCAATCTGACTTGGATGCTGATACGAAGAAATACAATTCTTAGGGGAAATAGGAAATTTGTTTCTATATAAAAAACAATCGATGGATATAGTGAGGCAATGATGCCACAGACTCATGAGTGAGTTGCCAATTTGTCTTGTGATTTTTAAAGTTGTTCATGTCATCAAAAATTCATAACTTTCTTATTACCGATAGTTATCAGATTTTGCTCAAAGTTTTTTTCATTGGTTTGTCTAACTTTTCTGCTTCGATTGAAAAAAAAATTTTTTTGGAGTGTTCTTGCCCTTTAATTGGTACGGTGTTCTCATTAAAAGTAAGTTCTATGAAAAAAATATCATGTTTATATTGAAAAAATTTGAAGAAAAAAATGCCTAGAAATCTAATGATTTTGAACCTCTCAATGCGTTGGCAATTTACTGTATTTGCCGGCGTAAAGGCCGCAGTATTTTTGGAAGAGAAAATATCAAAAAGTTGGGGTGCAGCCTTTACGGCGAAAGAGTAAAAAAGAAAAAGAAAAAAACTCAAGTCAAAACCAGCACGAATTTGCAGATATGGGACTACGAACGGTAAAATAACTATACCACTATAATACAGGACATTTCCACACATCTTACCGACAATTTTATCTTGCATTGTTGAGATGTAGACGAAAATAACTTCCTAAAACAATATTTGCTGATATATCTTGATCTAAGTTCGTGCCAATGCATTGCAAAGGTGAAGGAAGGGACCATTTAACAGAGCTGCCGTGAAGCATCCATCCGAAGTTGCCATTTTGTTTTCCATTTCATGCAATTTTGCATTACACCATACATCGTGGTAGGGATATATCGGACACCAAATCTGCCTGCGATCACTTTTTTAGCTAAACTTCCGGTAAATTATAAGAATATTGATGAATTTGGTATCAGTTTGTAAAAAAAAATGTGTTTTACGAGAAAATTACAATTATTTTGTTTTGTCTGTTTGTTTTTTGTCCCCCTTTTTTTTTTTTCCCAATTTGAAATGTCAAAGTTGGGGTGCGGCCTATACGGCGCTGCGGCCTTATCGCCGGCAAATACAATAAGCATTTTACAGCTTACTTTTTTTTCTAAGAATATGATAATAATAATAATTATTGTTATTATTTTAATCATAGTGATAATTATCATAAAACGTGTAATAGTCATAACAATATAATATTAAAAGTAAAAATAATATTTATCATAAAAGTGGGTTCTTGTATGGTAAATAGATGTCCTATCGGAGCTCAGTGTTATAGTGCTCTGGTTCATAACATTAGGAACCAGGGCCCGTATTCAATAAACTTCTTAAGCATGAAATCTAAGTACTTTTTCTTAAATTTTGGCTAAGAAAAAATCTTAGCCAAAAATCGTATTCCATAAAAGCATTGAAGACTAAGAAATTTGCCTTAAGATTAAGAAGAATTCTTAGATTTTATCTAAGAAAAAGGGCTTAAATAGCATGTCGTATTCTAATACAATCGAGATATCTAAGATAAGTAAGAAATCTACCCTATATTTAAGCATACTACGAGGATGCTTAAATAGGGCTTTGGCAGCTCATTGCACTGCAAGCAAAAGCTTTGGGTTTCGATCAAATGGAATAAAAACAATGCATGCAGCGCGAGCGCAGGTTACCAGTTTACCTATATCAACGTAAGCTTCGCGTATATATATATATATATATATATATACAGCGTCGACGGCGCAGCGCGCAGGAGCACCATATATAGGCACTGTACTTGTTTATGTTTGTTTTGAATTGTACAACAACTAAACGAGTACTAGCGTAGCATCTACATAACACTAAATTATGACATGGCTGTCTTATATAAAAGAAACTGTCTCTTACTTTATTAGTCTTTGGCACTAAAATATGGAAACAGGGAATAATGTGCAATCGGCATATTAGGTGAGACAAAATTTGTTATATTATGAGTCTGATAAAGGTTACATTTAGCCATTTGATTAATTTTAGGCTAGCATAGCAGTAGGCCTAGACAATGTAAAACAAAGGGTAGCTCCAAATCAAATGCTAGCGCTGGTCGGCCGGCTAGCGATGGCGCTCCCTTCATACTCACAGACCCTGCGGCTGCGACATAAGAAAGCCCGGTTGGGCTCTTCGAAGATGTTTGACAGAATAGTGGATGTTAGATCTAGCCTCAGGGGGTCTTGATTAGACTGTTTTAGTGTCAGTTGGTCAAGCCCGAAACAATTATGTGAGCATCGTTCCTCCCTTACGCTCTATCTCCCATACATGTTAGTGTATAATTTTTGTGCGGTGTGATTTTTATTTTAGCACGCAAATTACATACGCAAATTGAGTTGCAATTAATTCGCTCGAGTCGACCACTTTAACTTTCCAACATGATGTCATCGGGTCTAAGAATTTGTCTTATCTGTCGTCTTAGCTAAGACAAACTGCTTTACGTGTTTAGAGGCAACTTTCTTAATCTAGACAAATTCTTAGACATTTTCTTAGACTTAAGAAAAGTGTCTTAGAAGTTTATTGAATATGGGCCCAGAGCACTATAACACTGAGTTCCCATAGGACATATTTATTCTGATGGTCATATCTCAGCCAATACTTAACATATTCAATTGGTTTTCGACATTCGGATATTATTTTTGATGCTCTTTAGGAAAATGAAGAAAACATTGAGAATTTCTAAAAATAGATTTTTATGATGTCACAGCTTCGGTAGGCCTACTCTTTACAGAATACTCAGAGGGCTTTTCTCCTGTGTGGATTTTTATGTGCCTTAATAAGTGAAAGTTACGGGAAAACGTTTTCTTACAAAAAGAACACTCATAAGGCTTTTCCCCTGTATGGGATCTTATGTGCATTGAGAGTGTATTAACACGAGTAAATCTCATATCGCAGTACATACACTGATATGGCTTTTCTCCTGTATGGGTTCTCAAGTGCTCATCCAGACCATTACTCCGGGAGTACTTCTTATCACAAAATTTACACTGATATCGGTTTTCTCGCTTTTTTCCTGAATGAATTGTCATATGTTGCGCAAGATTACCACTTGCATGAAAGCCTTTGTCACACACTGTACACCGATAAGGCTTTTCACCTGTATGGATTCTCAGGTGTCTCTTTAGACCATTCCCGTACAGAAATCTCTTGCTGCAAAACGTACACTCATGGGGCTTTTCTCCTCCATGGGTTTTCATGTGTCTAGACAAACTTTTCCTGATTGTAAATCCTTTGCTACAGACACAACAGAGAAAGGGTTTTTCTTCAGTTAGGCTGCAGCTAGGATCATTTTGATTGCTTCCTGTTGCACGAGGCTTGGAAGACTGATTGATCATCTCATCATATTCCATCGTGATGTCTGCATTCCTATCTATATCCATTCCTCCATTTTTATGAGATGACGTGGTAGCATCCGTTGTCTCCTTGTCAGCTGCTCGTTTTTCATGAAAATAAGGCACTTGGCTTGGTATGAGATAAGAGTCATACTCACTTGGGCAACTCTTTCTTTCAGATGAATCAGATCGAGTTCCTAAGATAGCTTGTAATGGGAAATCCTCTGGAAGATGTCTTGCACCGTCACATGATCTATCACGTGACATTTCCTGAGTGTTCCTCATACTTTGATGGGAGCTCTGCATTCTTAAATCCCCACCTGAGCACAAAGAGCAGGATGAAATATCTAACTTTGATTTAAAATGGAAGCTCCTTAAGTAAGCTACCTGTACATGCAGACAACTACAACATGGTACTGGTGTTCCCCTTTTATTTAATTCAAAAGTATACATTAAAATGTAAACATTGAAAACAATTTCACCAAAAAAAGGGTACAAGTGGGGCGGGGTAAAAAGCATACAAGTACATGTAGCAACATACATTAATGTATCCCCTTTCATACCAATGCATAATCACTGATATTGAGATAAAGAAATGTAAAGTGCACTCAAATGATTTTGTTTCATCTTTCTTTTAATACCAAGGTGGTCTGAATGGTCGTCGATACAAACCTTGTTTGCTACATGATTGTGATGTTGCCTGCAGAGCGGTCCCTTCATCATCATCTGCACTGTCACTATCCACAGGTTCTTCCTTTATAAAGTATGTGAAAGTCTGGTGGTCAGCTTCTTTCGATTGTTGGGCCTCCGTCTCCTTAGCATTATAATCCTCTGTCCAACCATCTTTTGAATCTGCTTCCTGCACGGAATCAGTATGAAATCGTCTCTGAATTTCTTCTCTTTGCTGACCTTCTTTCAAGTGGTCTTCCTTAACCAAACACCTTTCAGCTGTGTCTGGGGATTGTGGCTCTTCCGATACCTCTTTGGCATTATTCTCTATCCAGTCATCTTCCAAGTCATCTGCAAAGTCTTCTTCTTTCACAATGTAGGTCTTGTATGGTTCCTCTGATTGTTGAGGTTCCCCTTCGATCTCTCTCTTGATCACTTTGGTCTTCTTGTCCGCCATGATTCTGTGAAAGAGGGTAAAAATACATTAAAAAAGAATTTTGGAGGAAGATAGACATAAAGTTATCGAGGCTGTGTAGTCTGGGACAATTCAATAATTATGATTGACCCTCGGATTCCTAGGGGTCATTCCATAAGATCAACTCCATGAAAGTCATATCTTTGTCGGCGACCTACGAAGATGTCAGGAAGTTGATAAACTGTTTCACAAAACCATGAACAGCAAAAAATTAATTATTTCGATACTATCGGCTAAAAAATATATAGTCTTTGTCTTTGCCACGGTCCATCACTCATCAGATTAAAGCCTGACTGTATGATGCGTTTAAGGGTCTTTTTTTTGTGGATTTTCTTTGTCGAAAGTGAGCTCCATGTTGAAATTCTTGCAGCCATATTTTAAACTGTTACGGCGCATGAAGGAAGATGAAAATATGCGACACCAACACTCTTACAGTAGTACATGCAGTCCGCGCGGAACATACGTTTTTCAAAAGTGGAGTATTAATGATCAGGTAGAGTGTAGCAATTGGTGAATTGGCGTGGGGTGCAGGGGCTTTGCATTTGCATTTGATTGGCTCAATAGGAACTATACGTCAAGCGCTAGTCATCAATATTCATGATACGCACACAGAATCTGATGCGATAATTTATCAAATATGAGATTTCATACAAAAATTACAAACGCAAAGCTAAGTTTACTTTAAATAAGTGACATTGCGACAAAATCAGGAGGCTTACCGTAAATGAACGACTACCCAGGTCATAACTTTTCCATAATCATTGCGACATACTGGTTAATTTAGTCCAGAATCTGGCCGATTTAATCTCCACCTCACTGTACCAATGCAAATATTCATATATTCAAATATTAATATGCATTCTAGGATGGCTACCTTACAGAAAAAAAAAAGACGTGCCCGGTGTGGGTCAAGGGGCGGAGCCTCAGGGGTTTTAGGCATTACGGTCATATAGGCATAGGCTATATTTTGATACCTTTTCGGCGTGGGGTCCAGGGAGCTGATCACCATGAAGCTCAGGGGTTTTAGGCATTTTATTACGGTCAGCTACATGATACAGAGGCCCTCTTCAGGGCCCGGGAGGCAGAGCCCCCGGAAACTCAGGGGTAATTGTAGGCATATATATCCAGCCTAGGGCCCTTGGTGGAGTCCAGGGGACAGTGCCCCCAGAAGCTCAGGGGTTTTAGGTCTTTGATTATGGTCAGATGGCATCCAAGACCCTGTATTAGAACATGATTCTCAAAAAAAAAGGTTAACAAAATTGTATTCTAAGATGTACATGTATAACTAATAGTTACAGATAAACATATAGTGCCTTACCGCACTGAGGGTTCATCTGCATCGGAGTCTGACATTTTCTCCACTCCTGACTGTGACATGACAGAACTGCAAAATAAACATGAAGGTTCAGTTAAAAAAGGATGTAAAATAAATAGTAACAACCTGTGAATGATACTCAAACCAACTCCTCCCCCATTTTGCAATTATTACCCTTTTGCAAACATGTATTACAGTTTTCAGGAAAGGTTATATAAAATAAATAAACAATGATCAATTTTCAATTGGTCACACATGGTCCTCCGTAATGGTACCAAGAAAGAAGTACTTATAAAATCTAAATTTAAAATCAAATTAATTTTTGAAAAATATCTTTTACAATATAAAATAATGTCTACAATATAGATATAAAAAACACACCGTTCTCCAGCTGAGGAACTGTCAACATGGTCCTGGAGTTTGCCATGGTCCTGGAGTTTGCCATCGTCCTGAATTTTCCTGAAGAAATACGATTTTAATGCAAAGAATTTGAATTGATCATTTCTAATCATTATCAACAATTGTATAGTCAATGTGTGTTGCATAATATGTGAATCTGGCATTTTTTGCAAGTTTTACTTAAAAATTGACAAAAATGTAATAAATTGTAAGGTAATGCAAAAATTTGTTTTAACTACATGTATTTGAAGAAATCTTACCTGACGCCACACCTGGGAACAAGAGGGGAATTGAAGAAGGGCAAACTGAAAAAGATCGATACAAGAACAAATGCAGTCATAAATAACTCTTCATACCATTTCAATAATTTCAGGTACAAACTTGTTTTCTTAATCAAGATTTGTGACACATTCACACAAATTAAAACAAACATCTTTGACATTGGGAAAAGGAAACTACAAATATAACAAAAGGAATTATATTTGATGGTCTTTATGAATTAATATAATATTATTATAATATATTATTATTATAATATATTATAATCAATGCAACCACACTCAGAGAACAATAATATTGGGAGTAATGTTGGTATCAAGTAAAATTATTGCCAGTAAATTTAGTAGCATACAGTATCTACGATGTCTATCATTGTTGAATATGACCCGACTTTGCCTCTAACAAAAATACAAAGAGTGTACCATTAAGTCTGTGTCACTTGTACATGTATAATATACCGGGTATATAAATTTACTTTTTATTTAATATTTCAACGAACCACTTTTCATTCTTACAGATGTGGATGTGGATGTGGATTTTTTTTTTTTTTTTTTTTTTTTTTTTTTTTGGGGGGGGGGGGGGGTTTGATATACTTTGATTATCAATCAATTATCGATACATGTGTTCTTTGTGTAACTTACCTTTCAATGGACATAGGTACTCTCACTCCATGGGTGGCAGGATAAGCAGATGATGTTTGTGTTGAAGCATTGACAGGTCTAGTGAAAAAACATGAATAATTTAGAATTAGATTTATACAACTAGGCCTACTTATTTTTCCCACAAACCCGGATGTCCTCAACGATTGATCAGTTTACTCTCTACCTTTCTATCTAACTGGTAGTAAACAGTGAGATACTTCAGCCATTATATTTGCTCTAATATGAGTAACATTTGTGAACAAAGACTTTCAAGAAAATTTGATCAGTACGGTGAAAAATGACTGTCTATGGTTCCAATGCTACATGTATCAAGCCAATGGGATAGTTTTCTGACACTTATAAAATATAAACTCTTTTATGACCCATTGACCTTGGATAGTAAACCTCTTGCAACCAAAAGTAATCCCTTATACAGAATTGATCCAAGTTTGGTTGAAACCAACTGGATGTTATCAACACATCGCATTAAAAAAAGAAATGAAAAACGGATAAACAGACCCCAAAACCCTAAACATAAGGTCTCTATCACCAAAGCAGCATTCTATAAAAAACTAGATGGAATTTTGACTGCGCGCAGTCGAAAATGATGCCTCCGCCATAGAGCAATTTAAACAAGTTTGGAGTTTAAATCTCCAGTGGTTCTTGAGATATCATGATAACAATCTCAATGTATGGAATTTCATAAGTTGACCTCTGTGACCCTTGACCTTTGACCTACGTGCTCCAAAATCTAATCAGATTGTCTTCCTATGGTGATACACACTATCATTAAGTTTGAAGTTTAAATCTCCAGTGGTTCTTGAGATATTATGATATGGTGATACATACTATCATTAAGTTTGAAGTGAAAATTCTCCAGTGGTTCTTGAGATATCGCGATAACGATCTCAATGTATGGAATTTCATAAGTTGACCTCTGTGACCCTTGACCTTTGACCTACGTGCTCCAAAATCTAATCAGATTGTCTTCCTATGGTGATACACACTATCATTAAGTTTGAAGTTTAAATCTCCAGTGGTTCTTGAGATATTATGATAACAATCTCAATGTATGGAATTTCATAACTTGACCTCTGTGACCCTTGACCTTTGACCTACGTGCTCCAAAATCTAATCAGATCGTCTTCCTATGGTGATACATACTATCCTTAAGTTTGAAGGTTTAACATCTCAAGTGGTTCTTGAGATATCATGATAACAATCTCAATGTATGGAATTTAATAAGTTGACCTCTATGACCCTTGACCTTTGACCTACGTGCTCCAAAATGTAATCAGATTGTTTTCCTATAGTGATACACAATATCACTAAGTTTGAAGTTTAAATCTCCAGTGGTTCTTGAGTTATCATGATAACAATCTCAATGTATGGAATTTCATAAGTTGACCTCTGTGACCCTTGACCTTTGACATACGTGCTCCAAAATCTAATCAGATCGTCTTCCTATGGTAATACATACTATCCTTAAGTTTGAAGTTTAAATCTCAAATGGTTCTTGAGATATCGCGCTAACAAACTCAATACAAGGAATTTCATAAGTTGACCTCTGTGACCTGTGACCTTTGACCTACATACTCCAAAATCTAATCAGATCGTCTTCCTATGGTGATAAATACTATTCCGAGTCTTAAGTTTAAATCTTAAATGGTTCTTGAGATATTGTGATAACGGTCAAAAGGGACGGACGTACAGACGGACAACCCGAAAACATGATGCCTCCGGCACCACCTTCGGTGGCGGAGGCATAAAAATATATTTTCCTCCAAAACCCTGAAACACCGGCCCTTACCATTTCGGCCTGAAATTGGTGTTTATTCAAATTATCACAATATTTGCCCCTACGCCCCTTTCAAAGGGATTAGGGGTCAGGATCCATCTAATGGCATGTATGTACATTCATTGTGGGGAAACTAACCTATTCAAAAAAATATATATTTTCCTCCAAAATGTTGAACCACCCCGGACCTTCTAATTTCGGCCCGAAAGTTGTGATAATTCAAATTTTTACAATATTTGCCCCTACGCCCCTTTCAAAGGGATATGGGAGTCAAGATCCATCTAATGGCATGTACGGACATTCATTGTGGGGAAACTAACCTATTAAAAAAATATAATATTTTCCTCCAAAATGCTGAACCACCCCGGACCTTCTAATTTCGGCCCGAAAGTTGTGATAATTCAAATTTTTACAATATTTGCCCCTACGCCCCTTTCAAAGGGATATGGGGGTAATGATCCATCTAATGGCATTTATGTACATTCATTGTGGGGTAACTAGCCTAATCAAAAAATATAATTTTTTCCTTCAAAATGCTGAACCACCCCGCCCTTACAATTTCGGCCCGAAAGTTGTGATAATTCAAATTTTTACAATATTTGCCACTACGCCCCTTTCAAAGGGATATGGGGGTCAGAATCGATTTAATTGCATGTAGGTACAATCATTGTGGGGAAACTAGCCTATTAAAAAAATATATATTTTCCTCCAAAATCCTGAACCACCCCGGCCCTTACCATTTCGGCCTGAAATTGGTGTTTATTCAAATTATCACAATATTTGCCCCTACGCCCCTTTCAAAGGGATATGGGAGTCAAGATCCATCTAATGGCATGTATGGACATTCATTGTGGGGAAACTAACCTATTAAAAAAATATAATATTTTCCTCCAAAATGCTGAACCACCCGGACCTTCTAATTTCGGCCCGAAAGTTTTGATAATTCAAATTTTTACAATATTTGCCCCTACGCCCTTTTCAAAGGGATATGGGGGTCAGGATTCATCTAATGGCATTTATGTACATTCATTGTGGGGAAACTAGCCTATTAAAAAAATATAATATTTTCCTCCAAAATGCTGAACCATCCCGGACCTTCTAATTTCGGCCCGAAAGTTGTGATAATTCAAATTTTTACAATATTTGTCTCTACGCCCCTTTCAAAGGGATATGGGGGTCAGGATCCATCTAATGGCATTTATGTACATTCATTGTGGGGAAACTAGCCTATTAAAAAAAATATATATTTTCCTCCAAAATGCTGAACCACCCCGGCCCTTACCATTTCGGCCTGAAATTGGTGTTTATTCAAATTATCACAATATTTGCCCCTACGCCCCTTTCAAAGGGATATGGGAGTCAAGATCCATCTAATGGCATGTATGGACATTCATTGTGGGGAAACTAACCTATTAAAAAAATATAATATTTTCCTCCAAAATGCTGAACCACCCCGGACCTTCTAATTTCGGCCCGAAAGTTTTGATAATTCAAATTTTTACAATATTTGCCCCTACGCCCTTTTCAAAGGGATATGGGGGTCAGGATTCATCTAATGGCATGTATGTACATTCATTGTGGGGAAACTAGCCTATTAAAAAAATATAATATTTTCCTCCAAAATGCTGAACCATCCCGGACCTTCTAATTTCGGCCCGAAAGTTGTGATAATTCAAATTTTTACAATATTTGCCCCTACGCCCCTTTCAAAGGGATATGGGGGTCAGGATCCATCTAATGGCATGTATGTACATTCATTGTGGGAAAACTAGCCTATTTAAAAAAAAATATATTTTCCTCCAAAATGCTGAACCACCCCGGCCCTTACCATTTTGGCCTGAAATTGGTGTTTATTCAAATTATCACAATATTTGCCCCTACGCCCCTTTCAAAGGGATATGGGGGTCAAGATCCATCTAATGGCATGTATGGACATTCATTGTGGGGAAACTAACCTATTAAAAAAAAATATATTTTCCTCCAAAATGCTGAACCACCCCGGCCCTTACCATTTCGGCCCGAAAGTTGTGATAATTCAAATTTTTACAATATTTGCCCCTTCGCCCCTTTCAAAGGGATATGGGAGTCAGGATCAACCTAATGGCATGTATGTACATTCATTGTGGGGAAACTAGCCTATTAAAAAAAATAATATTTTCCTCCAAAATGCTGAACCACCCCGGCCCTTACAATTTCGGCACGAAAGTTGTGATAATTCAAATTTTTACAATATTTGCCCCTTCGCCCCTTTCAAAGGGATATGGGGGTCAGGATCCATCTAATGGCATGTATGTACATTCATTGTGGGGAAACTAGCCTATTCAAAAAATATAATATTTTCCTCCAAAATGCTGAACCACCCCGGCCCTTACCATTTCGGCACGAAAGTTGTGATAATTCAAATTTTTACAATATTTGCCCCTACGCCCCTTTCAAAGGGATATGGGGGTCAGGATCCATCTAATGGCATGTATGTACATTCATTGTGGGGAAACTAGCCTATTAAAAAAAATATAATATTTTCCTCCAAATGCTGAACCACCCCGGACCTTCTAATTTCGGCCCGAAAGTTGTGATAATTCAAATTTTTACAATATTTGCCCCTACGCCCCTTTCAAAGGGATATGGGGGTCAGGATCCATCTAATGGCATGTATGTACATTCATTGTGGGGAAACTAGCCTAATCAAAAAATATAATTTTTTCCTCCAAAATGCTGAACCACCCCGGCCCTTACAATTTCGGCCCGAAAGTTGTGATAATTCAAATTTTTACAATATTTGCCACTACGCCCCTTTCAAAGGGATATGGGGGTCAGAATCGATTTAATTGCATGTAGGTACATTCATTGTGGGGAAACTAGCCTATTAAAAAAAATATATATTTTCCTCCAAAATGCTGAACCACCCCGGACCTTCTAATTTCGGCCCGAAAGTTTTGATAATTCAAATTTTTACAATATTTGCCCCTACGCCCTTTTCAAAGGGATATGGGGGTCAGGATCCATCTAATGGCATTTATGTACATTCATTGTGGGGAAACTAGCCTATTAAAAAAATATAATATTTTCCTCCAAAATGCTGAACCATCCCGGACCTTCTAATTTCGGCCCGAAAGTTGTGATAATTCAAATTTTTACAATATTTGCCCCTACGCCCCTTTCAAAGGGATATGGGGGTCAGGATCCATCTAATGGCATGTATGTACATTCATTGTGGGAAAACTAGCCTATTTAAAAAAAATATATTTTCCTCCAAAATGCTGAACCACCCCGGCCCTTACCATTTTGGCCTGAAATTGGTGTTTATTCAAATTATCACAATATTTGCCCCTACGCCCCTTTCAAAGGGATATGGGGGTCAAGATCCATCTAATGGCATGTATGGACATTCATTGTGGGGAAACTAACCTATTAAAAAAAATATATATTTTCCTCCAAAATGCTGAACCACCCCGGCCCTTACCATTTCGGCCCGAAAGTTGTGATAATTCAAATTTTTACAATATTTGCCCCTACGCCCCTTTCAAAGGGATATGGGGGTCAGGATCCATCTAATGGCATGTATGTACATTCATTGTGGGGAAACTAGCCTATTAAAAAAAATAATATTTTCCTCCAAAATGCTGAACCACCCGGCCCTTACAATTTCGGCACGAAAGTTGTGATAATTCAAATTTTACAATATTTGCCCCTACGCCCCTTTCAAAGGGATATGGGGGTCAGGATCCATCTAATGGCATGTATGTA